TTCTTTTCTTATAAAAGGCTAAATAAAACAAAAATATTGGAGGTAATTTTTGACTGTAACTTTACAAATGGCACCCCATACATGCGTACGAAAAACTAACGTTACAATTTAGCTGTAAAACAGTTGGAAATAATTTCTCTTCAGTAACTCGAGCTTAGATTTAAAAAAAGATTCACAGAGCATCTAAAATACTCAAAAAAAAAAAAACACATTCAATTTTTTTCTCTTTGTTAGGACTGTAAAGCTGCTGTATTTTCTCAGATTCATTTCAGATGCAAAACTCTCCTCAGTCTTTGACACTGTGGTGTGATGATGGTGGAAACTCAAAACGTTACATTACAAATGAAAGCAGAAAGCCTAAAAATGTGAMAGCATTTGTTTAAAGGCTGTTAAAGGAGCTGATATTTGTTCCTGTGTGTGTTTTTGTGTTTGTGTGTAGGAGGCACCTTCCTGCGACCATTGTTGTTTTTAATGTGTTTTTAATTTCCCATGAAGTGACTGGAGTCCTCGGTGACCGCCGCGCCGTAATTGGCTGCCTGTGTGAACATCAGTCAGCCTAACGAGAGCTGGAGGGAGAGCTGCGTGAGCTTGCACGTGGACAGGTACACGTTAGGAGGCTGAACCGGTATGGAAAGCCTAAAGCGCCACAAAAACGCCACTTTACAAAGTGTTAAACTTAAAAAACGGCGTGCCATTTTTTTTTAAGTTGAACGCGTTGTAAAGTGGCGTTTTTGTGATGCTTTAGGCCATTGTTAAGTTTAACGTGTTGTAAAGTGGCATTTTTGTGGCGCTTTGGGCCATTTTTATGTTTAACGCGTTGTAAAGTAGTGTTTTTGTGGCGCTTTAGGCCATTTTTAAGTTGAACGAGTTGTAAAGTGGCGTTTTTGTGGCGCTTTAGGCTTTCCATAATCCAGACACCTCGCTCTTGCTTCCTCTCCTCCACAAACAAAAACACAGACATGGAAAGACGAGCACGCTAGGAGAAGGGAGGTCGTGTCAACGGAGTGAGATCAGCTGAGATGGGTTTACCTGTTAGCTCGCGCCGTTAGCCGCGGCGGAACCAGCCGCCACGCTCACTGCTGCGTGCACAAGGATAAGCGCAGTAATTGCACAGCACAACTTCATTACTCCTGGACTCTCGTTACGGTACAGAACTTAAATCAGGGCTCACTCCTCTGCATCCTTCAGAGCACAACTCTCAAAAACACGAGGCCTTAGTCGTTTTTATTTTTCATATATAGGATTTATTTACACTTTCTATTTACAGATATTTGTTTCTGTACACATTTTTAAATTCAAGAACTACTCCTGTCACCCACACAGTCTAGTTTTATTAGATTTCTCTCAGAACTTGGAGGAAAAATCCACGGGGGAGAATTTTTAATTATTTTTTTTCCAGCCTGGTTTTAATAAACATACTTTATTCAAAAATAAAAGGGGGGAAAGAAGCAGCTGGAAGTGTTACTTTCTGAAAACAATCTGAAGAGTTTGTGTTTATTTTTTACATAGATTAGAGTGGATTTACAGTATGTTAATGGGAAATTACTGCATATAAAATTTAAAAAAAGCATTCATTAGATGATCTAAGAAGGGCTACACCAACACAAACATCACCTCCAACACGAGCCGTTTCCCCCTCAGGTTTTGCATCAACACAAATCTGTGATTTAAGGCAAATTAACTTTATAAGCAGGAAAAATGGCCACCGTTTGCCCCCCCAGTCCCCGCTGTCACACCTGTCAAGCTTTGCATTTATTGCACGTGCTCACGACGGTTCAACACCTGAACGAAAAATCTGTCACTCCTTTGACTTTTYCATTTTTCCTCACCTGTTTAAGTCCTGCTGCAGATTTCTGAGCTCCAACGAGCAGCTAAAAACACCAACGTTACTGAAGGTTATTTTTATGCATCGCAGACAGGAAAGTTTCATTTAGAAAAGATTTTTAAAAAAATTATTTCTTAATTGGTGCCGCCAGTTTTGAGAAGAGGATCTCTGCAGACACTAAGTAGGACTTTCTTACTTTGTGGGAGGAGTTGACCCAAGATGTGATTGGTCAGATTGACGGTGGGGTTTGAAGAAGCTGGGGGGCAGCTTGGTTG